AACCCGGAAAATCGAAACGGGTATTGCGAGAATCGTTTCGGTAAAATCCTTTTGCAATGGATCTTTCCAGAATAGAACTAGGGTTCGTTGAATCCCACGTAAAGGGATAGAGCAAAGGATGGCCCATTGAAGGGGGCGAAGGTAGCCTTCGAGGAGTCGGAAAATGCCGTAGACGGTGAGGAGAGAGAAAAGAAGGAAGGCGTGTGCCATGGCTATGTACATGGCTAGCCGGACTTGGGGGTCCCCGGAGAGAGATGAATGCGACGGCGGCGGCGCGTTGTCACGCGCCGCCGTAGACGGTGGCGAAGGTGGTGGGGAGGTGGGTTTTCGGAGGGAAGCCGATCGAAACATGTCTTGCCAAGGTGGGGTGGAGGAGGAAGAAGAAGAAGGGTCATTTGGGTCTGAATATGGAACAAGTTCCATTAGGAAATATGATGATGATGATGAATTGATGATCAAATTGGTGGAAAGATTGAATTTTTGATGGAGAATGAAGAAAGTAGGAGAGAGAAAGAGAAAGGGAGGAGATAATTTTTATTTTTATTTTCAATTTAAAGGGTGGAATTTGATTGGGTGGACACAGTAGAATGTTTAGAAAATTGAAGATTAATTAAATTAATGACTTTGGGTTTTTTTGTTTGTCTCATTTGCATTTGCACAATTTTAAAATTTTAGCGCACATTTGTTTATCAACATATTCAACGACGCATTGTACAATATATAAGGAAAAAAACGAATTTTACAAGTTATCACATTCACATGAACAAGAATTATTCATAGTTAAAGTTTTTTACTCATGAAGTTGAAGATTTTTAAAGGAAAATGTGAGCGTAATGTATAATAATTTTTTTTTATTAATATTGGAGGTTAATAATAAAAAATGAATGGAATATAGACACAAAATTTAGAGTAATAATTTAAGAGGTTGGAAATTATTAATTAGGAAGAGACAAAAAGATTGATTTTATTATGTGAGGAGTTGATAGAGGAGAGATTGGTTTGATTATTTATTTTTTGGTGGGGGGAAGCGGTTGATGTAGATATTAGGCTTTGTTGAATATCTCTAATTATGATGTTTCGTTGTCTAAATTTATTAAGGGTTTAATCTAGTCTAATTATCTTTATTCATAGTTAAGCTAACCTTCATTAATCAATTAGTATTATCAGAAAGCTCACATGCCTAAGCTTAAGCATTCAGCAACTCAGCATCATATATCAATCATAATCATCATATAATGCTAGAAAATAACTTACAAATAAGAGTAATATAACCCTTTTCCCCAAATAGTAAGCCGCAAAAATGTAAAAAAAAAAATGTCAATTTTTATAGACTTCTTAAGTTATAAGATAAATCAGGTTTATATTATTGTTATACTCGATTTATCGCAAAATCTGTCAAAGTTGTAAAATAGGACTGAACCAAAATTACTAGTATTTTCAGGAATCTGATAGTAGTGCTTAAAATCAGGTTTAATTTCTTACACTTAATAGACAGTCTTGTATTCTCCAATATTACTAGTTAACTAGCAACTTGGCTCTGATACCAAATCAACGCAGCTTAACAGTTCTTGATTTATATTAACAATATTATTTTTCTTAATAATGGATTTCACTTATACCATAAAAGTATACAAGTATAACCCTTTATTCGCAATACAAATACTTAGTCTTTTCATATATAAGTACTACTGAAACGAATAAAATGACACCTTGAAAACAATATCAAACAAACATATAACAATATTCAACTTATTATAAGAATTTCGAACTTAAAATAACAATATTAAAATAGCAAATGATATTTTTCCAACACTTAGCGAATTTTTTTTTTCAACGACTGTATGGACTTTCGTTTCCCATATCTGGTAGTGGGCTAGACTTACTCCACTATATACTACAGGTCACACAAACTGAGCAATTTGTACGGTCGTACATCTAAGTGTACTTAAATTTAGACCCCTTATATCTACCCACTTATGTACAAATAATAAAATTTTCAGCTAAGAAGATTTGTTCCTTAGATTTAGGCAATAAGTCAACGACGAATGGTCGTCCTTCTGTAATCAATTACTAAGACAAAAACCTAACAAAAGAATGATTAGAATTCAAAGGAAAGAATAAAAATGAAAATCAGTGGGAGTACTATGGCGAGAGGAGTGGAAGAGAAGAATGTGTTTAAAGAATTTAAACACCAAGACTTAACCATTACCCTTGATAGTGCAAGAACCATCAATTGTATCCAACAACTTGTATTTACAATTGATATATACACTTCGAATTTGAGCCACTAATGGATTAACCTTCATTTGGTGGAGCACAAGAGACAAAATTAAAATGAAAATTAAAATGAAAATTCGACAGTCGATCAAGGTGCTGTTTTCCTTTTAGAGCTGGATACTGTACTAAGCTAGGGGAGATCTTATAACTTTGTAGTAGTTTTGATAACGTTGGTTTGTTCTCATGTTAAAAGAGATGGCAATTTCGTTGAACATCACTTGGCAAAGTTTATTCCGTTTGGGGTTGAATAAGTGTGGGAAAATTGTTGTCCCTCAAATATTTCTCTGTATGTACTCCTTGATAATTTATCATCTATATAATATTTCCAGCTTGTTCTAAAAAAAAAATTATATCACTAATAAATAAAGTCGGATATCGTTACCAGGCTACGAGACAACGATACTTGACATTCAAGTCTTTCGCCCAGTGTCAGGCCACGTAGCCGACAAATAGGTATTATTGTGAAATATATGAATACATAATGCTAAGTAAGTAAATTTTGGATATAATTTTCAAGATAAAAATGTTGCTTTGAGTTTTATTATTTATATACTTCTAATATTTCATGTATACAAAATTAAATAACTTTTAATAATTATCCGGTTCTATTTCCATCATAAAATTCGTTTTAAAGATTCATTGACAACATATTTAATTTATTTAAAAAAATAATAAAGAATACGCAAAAAAAAAAAAAAGGTTTTAATAGATAAAATAATTTTAGTTCAATTAAAATAATTTTAAGTCAAAAATAACATAGAAATCTATTTACAAACAAAAGTACAAAAAGTACACTATTATATATAAATAAGCGATATGATATAAAATTATAAATATTTTGCATTATCAAAAGGGATTATAGGACCGTATTTAACATCCAGGCCAAAAAATTTATCCTAAAACTTTATTAACAATCTGGACATCGTCCGCGCACAAAACTAGTATAATAACAAAAAAGAAAATATAATAATTATGATTGATTGGAAAGGCTTTATGTAAGATTGATTATATTATATACAATCGGGTGCAAGTTGTACCCAAAGATATTTTTTGCTCATTTCAATGATTAAAGGATGATTTGTATTTCATATTTAATTATCGAATGAGCAAAAAATACATTAAATGTATCTTACACCCAGATGTATATAAGAGCTACTCGTATTAGAATAAGAAAAATAAGTAAGTTTATAGATGAGTTCATACATTATGTTAGCATTAAATGCAACCAAATTATTGGGTCCACACATGAATGACATAATTCTAACATAAATAAATATAAAGGAGAAATTTAATAGAATTTGATCCCATTGTCTGCAGTATAATCGTTGCATGCAAATCAAAATTATAAAGATAAATTTTTCTATTGATATTTAAGATGAAGTTGGAATACTTGATAACATTACATTAATGCAATTAGGTCTATTTTCAATTGGACATAAACAATTAAATTTATTGAGAAATTTAAAGGCTCCAAATAAATGAAGATTATCATCAACAAATTAAGCATGTTTCAAATAAGTTGGATTTTCAATCCAACATGCATCTTAAATGTTTAAAAAAAAAAAAAAGAAAAAAAGAAAAAAAGCCATCTAATCTATCTCATGTCTATAAAAACCCTTGAAAACAATAAAATACGTTGTTTAAAATCCAATATACATACGGTATTTTCAAAATGTCGCTAAAATACCTCTTAAAATACCAAACCTTCCTAATAGATAAATATCGAATACGCCAAATGTCAAATATATTACCAATATACACATCAATGATCCTTCTTAATATACATAAATAACATAATAAGTGAGTCAATGTGAATATCATTCTACTCACGCATCCTCCACACTCCCCTAATATTGACTTTAGATTCCCACCGCTATTAATTAGGATTCTCCTTTTTCCCTTACTTTTTGGATACCCAAAATTTTAAATAATACTCTCTCCGTCTCCTAATGATAGTCTCTTTTGGTAAAATTCACAGGAATTAAAAAACTTAAATAAGTAGTAAAATTACATTGAAAAAGTAAATTTATATGGAGTATGCAAAAAATTAGAGAGAGAAAACAATAAAACTATATGGAAATGCAAAATTTACACGGGGAACCTAAATTTACACAAATGTTGAGAATTTGAGAGAATTTTTGCAAAAAATTAGTATTAATGGTTGTTGAAAAAAACAAATAGGGTAAACATTTTGAGACTAAAATTTGACCAAACGGGAGGAGGGAGTACTTTGTATTTCTTTTTCTTAACCTTATACTTCGAATTAATACCATTTTATTAGTTTATTCGTCTCAAAATTTGATACATTAGCAAAACACGTAATTTAATAAATATTAATAATTGACGAATATAAATGAATTGATTAATAAATAGTAAAATTAATACGGAATAGATTTAATTTACGAGTATATTATTTGACTGTCTCAGTAATATAATACAGTTAAAGTATAATTTAATATTGATGATTTCTTACCAATTGTAATAATTTGACAATTATTCTTAAATGGCAAAAACGGTATTTCTATTTTTCTTTTTGTTAAAAAGCCACACAAGCGAGTGATGAGAATCAATCCCATGATCACTAAAACAGGGAGGGAAACTCTAACCACTTAAGCTATCCATCACTCTAAAAAAAAATGCTATTTCAATTATTTTAAAAGAGACAGGGTAATATTTTATTTTTTTATAACACAAACAAAGTATTATAAATAATAGTCCTTGGTGTCTGTTTGGAGACATCTGATAATAGTCCTTGGTTCCAACTCATGTCTCATATCTAAGCACCAGACTATCAACAAAAGATACAAAGTCTCAGTTTCCCCCCGCTGGGGCTTAGTTATTAAAAATCAATAACCACCTTGAGTCAATCAGGAAGAGAAAACAATGGTTACTCACAACGACGACAACAACAACAATTTGTACATAGAGCAAGGCGGCCATGCCGGAAATGTTCATGATTTCGATAAGAACCTCGATGACGATGGCCGTGCCAAACGAACCGGTAAAAAACCACCACAACTTCCTCCTCCTCCCCCAATCTTACAGTTCTAGATTTATAATTAAAACAGTTGCACCACTTATTGGTGTCACCCTCTCACAACCCCGAAAAAAAACAACAGAGCTTTTCCGTTAGACCGTTAGTTTTGTAAAATGAAAATATTCTTTTTTACCGGCTAAGAGTTATTTTTCTACTTGAATTGTTGTTCACCACTAGAAGTGTAAAAATTGTGTTATTTTTTCTGTGTATTAGTAAAAGTATAATTTGTTTTCGAAGAACTGAAGGTCAATTAAAAATCCAGATTATGAAATTTGGCTGATTAAAAGTGAATGTCAATACAATAGAAGTGAAAAAAGACTTTCATTTATGATTATGAACATGATTTTAAAATAAAATAAGAGTTTTATTTTAAGACCAAAGGAATAGAATCTCTTTTAAACGTAGGATTTTGTGAGTTTTGTAAAAGAGGTAATAATCATGATTTTCTGTAATACATTAGATTTACCACGTTAATATAAGTAATTTGTCTAATTGTATTTATTTTACCACGGTTGTTATTAACAAAATTGGTTAAAAAATGAAGGGACGATGATGACGGCAAGCGCGCACATAATAACGGCGGTGATAGGGTCAGGGGTGTTGTCGCTGGCGTGGGCAATAGCACAGCTAGGATGGGCGATTGGACCGACGGTACTGATATCATTTTCATTTATTACATACATGACCTCGACGATGCTCGCCGACGCCTACCGCTCACCGGACCCTGTTACCGGCAAGAGAAACTATACTTACATGGAAGTTGTCCGAGCAAATTTAGGTAAATAAGTTGCCTTTTCTTATCTTATTAAGTATTATAATTACTGGGATCTTGCTAATAAGCGTTCGGCATTAGATAAGAGATTAATATATTGCTTAAAATAGTAATAAGTTTGAAATACATTATAAAATTACGCATTGATTGGTGTGATTAATGTTAATTTTACTACGAAGTATAATATTTTCACATTTAGGTTTCTTATCTAACGTTTCAGAGCGCTTGTTAGCTTTTGTCTAGTTACTACTCATATTAGAATTATCCCTTTTCCTGAAATTTAGGTGGAGCGGAAAATAAGTGGGCCATTTGGTCCTAAATTTTATGGTTGTAGATAGTGTGATTAACATGCATGGATTAGTGAGATGATGGTTTATTATGGTAGAGCATCAATGGTGTAATTTTCGTATATTAATGTTTACTGAACTCAATTTTTTTTTCTCCGTCTTTTAATATTCTTATTTTATTGTTTATACAGTAATTGTTCAACAATATAACCTCAAAACATGAAGAACTATTATTCAACAGTATAAAGTCAAAATACAAAGAATTATTAGATGATGATTAGTGATTGATATATCCAAGTCTCCCATTAATTATATCAATTAATTAGGATACTTATATCTAACATAATTATTTGACATTGTAATTTGAATTCCGTAAAACTTTTGTTATAAAAAGTCAAAACAATGTGTGAATAATTAGTTCACGCTAGATAAGTACAGTAGTAAGCTACTCCAACTTTGATAATTGTTGGATATGATGCCGGTAAAATTGAGCACATTCTTATCATGAAATTTGTGGATGTATTTCTTTTGTAACCGTTGCACATAATTGCATTAAAATCACCACATATATTCTTATCTGCAACTGTAGTCCGGAGTGTTCACAAAGTTTAAGAAAATTTATAAGGTGAACCCCAAAAGAGGAATTTTTATAATATAAAATATTGTTGATAGGAGAGGAAAATAATAAAAAAGTAGTATAAGTGGGGTTGGTAGAAAAGAAAAATAATAAAATATTTTGAAAGTGGGGTTAGTGGGAGAGAAAAATTATAAAATAATGGTGGGTCCTTACTAAAAATAGTAGTGTTGCAATTAGTATGAAAATGTCGAAAATAAAAAATATTACATTTAATATGAAATGGTGAGAGTATACGTCTAAATATAATTATACATATGACATAATTGGTTAAAAATGTATCCGAGTACCGTTAATTCCGTTGTTATTGGAATGTACCTGATATAACTCAATGATACGAGCGTTAATTGTATATGTCCATTTCATATTGCATCCGTTGAAGATTGATTTTTACACTTTCATTGCGAGACATGCATTATATTTTACGTGTCCATCTCGAGTAGGATTGCAGATCCATATCCATTTTGACTTTTGACAATATAAATTGATTTTCAAGGAGGGGAATTGAATTGAATTAAAACCTGAGAAATTATAGCAGTGGGATTTTCACGTAATAAATTTGACGGTTTGTTGTACGTTACTTATGTTATATTTTTTTCAGGTGGCAGGAAAGTCCAACTATGTGGCCTAGCTCAATACGTGAATTTGGTAGGCGTCTCAATTGGATATACCATTACTGCCTCAATAAGCATGGTGTAAGTCAAAGATTCCCCTTTAGTAATTTCCAAGTTTATGATCAATGTTGTTTAAGTAACTTGCATTTATCAATTTTTGGCTTATAGTCCTAACGCCTTAGTAGTAGTTGAGTATGAACTAGATCTTTATTATTTCCTTTTCGTGCCAAACAATGTCTTAAATATAAAATGCTCCCTATATGCTATCTACATATTAATGGTCCTTTAGCTACGATGTGTAAATTATTTGAGTTTGAATTCAAAACAATAATTACTACGGAGTACTTCCGTTTCTTAGTTATAAAAGTTTCGTTATTCTGTTCCACACGTATTTAATTATTATGTGTGTGATACAGTAAAATAATATGATAATGAAACTTGATTGATTAAAAATTATTTTTTTTATCAAAAAAAAATAGAGTCCGATTGATTAAAAGTAAATAAAATTTTGTGATGGTAAAATTCATTCAATTAAAAGTGAAAAAATAATGAGTAATAGATAGAGGATAAAAATTAAATGAGATTTTAATTTGTTTACTTAAGGTGTAACTATTTTCAAATAAAAATTAGAGATGAAACACACATATAATTAATTGTACAGCTCAGTAATTAATATGAATGTTGGAAATGTAACAGAGCGGTGAAAAGGTCAAATTGTTTCCACAAGTACGGGCACCATGTGAAGTGTAGCACATCAAACACTCCGTTTATGATAATATTCGGGTGTATCCAAATACTGCTGAGCCAAATCCCCAACTTTCACGAGCTTTCTTGGCTTTCTATGGTGGCAGCTATTATGTCTTTTGCCTACTCTTCTATTGGCCTCGCTCTTTCCATTGCCAAAGTTGCTGGTACGTTCATCTATATTCCTTGGACCACCTTTCCATATGATCTCCTCTCTTTCTATATTCCCTACTATCATGTGCATCCAAATATTATTATTATTATTATTATTATTATTATTATTATTATTATTATCAAGTTGGTATAAATAAGTATTACCAAGTAAACTCGATGCTACATGTCACCACGTATAATTTTATTAAAAAAAAAACCTCGTAATTATTATCAAATTGGTATATATTACGTCACACGTTACACATCACATGATTGTTATTATTAGATCTGTAAAATATATATTACTCCATACATAACATGTCACATACTTTCAAATATAATTATACTATGTAGCTTTGACATATTGTAACCGCGGTTTAAAACATTGATTGTGAAGGTGGAGGATTAGGGAGGACATCATTAACGGGAGTAACGGTAGGAGTGGACGTGACGGCCGCAGATAAAGTGTGGAGGTGTTTTCAAGCTATTGGAAATATTGCCTTTGCCTATGCTTATTCTAATGTCCTCATCGAAATTCAGGCAAGTTTAATCCTCCAACCTTCTCTTTTGATACTACTTTTGTTTGGCTGCTTATTCTTTTTCAATATGACTAGGAAGAAATTGTATGTGCAAAGCATCTATTACATAATTAGGTATGCTATATGTCAAAATATGGTATTTACAATATATCTAATTTAGTGAAAATTGTAGTTTACGTGTCCCCGCGCACATTATTAATCAAGCTTACTTGGTGGTGACGGTAAGATACTAAGATTAGACCATTCTCTTACCTAAACTAATGCAATTAATTTGTTTGGTCTACATCGACTGGCATGATTTTATCCGTAACATACTAATTTATCTGAAAATTTATCTTACACATATATTTATAATGAGTATATAAAAAAAATACTTATGTACCACATATATATTTATACCGAGTATATAAAAAAAATACTTATGTACCACACATATATTTATAATGAGTATATAAAAAAAATACTTATGTACCACACATATTTATACCGAGTATATAAAAAAATACTTATGTACCAACTAATTATTTAAGGACACAAATCCAAAGTAGTAGATATTTTGGTACAAGAATTTGGATTGTTATGCTTAATTTAGGGTGCATAAAAATAAGAATAATAATTTCTGGGGTCATAAGATGCATGGAGGGAGGAGGTTGATAATTGAGATGGTGTGCCAAATGGTTGCATGTGACGCACCTAACTTGGGATGCGTACTCGAATTAACTCTGATCCTCTTCTTCACCGTTACGCTTGTGACACGACTTTTGTCTTCGCTTGTTCTCATGTTTCTCATGTTTTTTCGTTTGATCACTAATCACTCTTCCTACGCTTATACTAAATATTTAATTTAGTTTACATTTTACACAAAAACAAAATAAGTTTCTAATAGCAAGGTCAATATTTTATTTTATTTTTCCTTTTTTTTTTTTAAAAAAAAACATCATGTAAACTAGAGTATTCATGTTTTGAGGGTTATTTTTACTTACGTACCTTGTGCTTGTGTAGAGAAAACGATATAGGATTGATATTGTATACTTTGTATTGAGATAGTAATCACGCTAGGTTACGGTGTTACAATAATATAAAGCTAATTAAGGATCTCCCTCACGACCGAGTGAAACAATATACTTACATACATAAGCTTGCGTTGAAGAGTACGTACAAGTGCATATATAAAAGTTCAAACATAGGTTGAATAGTCTAGTGAAACCATACGTCAACCATCCTCTTGAGTTTACAAATGTACTTATGTAATCTATGTTTTATGCACTAGATTTTCACATATTAAAACTTATATGAAATGAATTGATTTCACGATAAAAAATACCACTTATTTAATACAGATTATTCACTAAAATGTTTGGATTTATTTTGGTTGTTGAACTCGATCATCCTTTTATTTGTCCAAACTTAACTTATTAGAAAATCATTAATGTCGAACTAATCTAAACAATAAAAAATTGATTTCCTATAATAATTGACATAATGAGGATCCTATCTTGTTAATTTATCATGTCAACAAAACAAAAAAGATGCGTCTTCTTTCGTCCATGTCAACAAATAGTCTGTTTTCTCCGTCATCATTCGCGGAATTCATGTCGTCAAAACATCGTGTCTTTCAATAATACATTAAATAATTTGAGGCTATGAAATTGATTTTGGTTCGTCAGAGTGATTAATCATTCATCGACTACTAGTCAAAGTTTAATTTGGATTATTATTCATTTCTAGATTATATTTTCAATTAGACCCATTTTTAAATACTAATTCATCCACTCGTTCCAATATTATTGGATGTAAAATTTTTCAATTATTTAGAAAAAATAAATAGCCAACTATTGTGTGAGTGTGTGACCAGAGTGTATTCATGCTAATACTCATCATATAATAGGAATTATTTTTCTGCTTTATCAAGTTAATAGGATTTTTTTTTTTCAAAAAAATAAGTTTAACAAGAAATATTTATGTGACTTTCAGATGTTCTTTCTCAAAAAAAAAAAAAAAAAAAAAAAAAAAAAAAAAAAAAAATTAATAAAGAAAAAAAGTGGACTTTAGATATGTTTATGGTCTTTATTTCCTCGGTTCTTTTTTAGATGACCTGTTTCATTTATCACGCTTGTCAATGTAGAATTTTAACCATCAATAACTTTAATTTTGCATAAGTAAAAATTATAAAAGTTATATATTATGGTAGTACTTATTGAGACAATTCTAACAATATCTTATATGCATATGTTTTTTTTTTCTTACCTATAATTCACAAAAGTTGGTCAAAGGAGGGGCGATGAATATTGTAAAAGTCAAAGTGGTTTAAGTAAAAAAGAACGGAGGAAAAAATAAACTTTTTTTTTTTTGTTGAAACAAACTATATATACTGTTGAAACAAACTATATATACTATATATATCTATTAGTTCATTAAAACTATATACTACCTCAATTCATATTATTTGCAATTTTGGGGTATTATTTGAGAGATATAACATATTCCAAAGTTACAAATAATATGAAACGGAGGTAGTATAAAAAATAAAAATAGATAGAAATAATATACTACTTTTATTTATAAGTTTAAATACATAGAGAAAGTTAGAAATGCATGTAATAATAAACAGAGAGATAAAGTGAAATAATGACATAAAAAAATAATTAAATAATATGTTACACATAATTGAATACATAGTATGATAATTTAAAACAAAGGTAGTAAGGTGTATAAGCCACGTGCTGTGGATCGTCATCCAGGCCATTAAATTCAGCAACATTGACCCTGGTTTTTCAACTGTCTATCTTTGATTTTGCCTTATTTTTACATTGTTTCATTTCTCAATTATTATACTCTTCTTCAACTAATTTCCGCCGACATTCCGTAATTCATGACTAATAAAGTTTTAATTCTTTCTTCAGTCCTTTATATTTGTATCTTTGAATTTTAATAGTCCATCTGTTTTTTATAAGCGTCCCACTTACTTAAAAAAGAAAAAATGGCTAGTTTCATTTAAGTGTTCCATTACTTATATAGCAGGCCATTATTTCATTTGCCACTTAATACACCCTTACAGATCAAGGGAGTATCAATTAAAAATAATGTAGATGATATTTGATTTCATGTTTAAGTATCACCCCTTCAGATTTTAATCAATTAAGCTAGATGATAATCCACATTAATGTATCTTTCTCTCGTCAAATAATTTGTAATTTGCTGTTTATTTTTGCATGAACATGTTAGTCTTTATCTTGGTTTCAACCCAAAGAAAATACTTGTGAATTTGTGACATAAATTTAGGTTTATTTTTTTTTCATAAATAACAGTTTTTCCTCGGATTTGAAAGAAATTTTTTTTGTCGATGCCACACTATTTATTTATTTATTAATTTTTTTTAAATGCTATATCATGGATCATACGTTAATGTTGGACCAGAGTGTCGATCTTAGACAAAAAAACTCTGTTCTCATTGTAAAATTTTGGTCCCCGATTGATATCCCGGAAAATCTAGTTTAGTCCATATGCTTTGTCACATCAAAAAGGTATGGGGGTATGGATACCTCCAAAAGCTAGTGGGTTGAACATGAGCTTTTGGCACAACTTTAATTGTTAATCTTTTCACGTAAGTTGTAGATGTTCTTTTATTTAAGATACTCCCTCCGATTTTTTTTAATTGCAACTTTGGTATGTATTGCGGTTCACGAGATAAAAGTTAAGGGGTATGTAGTAGTGGGGTTAATTAAAGGTGATTAAAGTGTGTAGAGAGAGAAAGTTTGGCCCACCACTTGGTAAAGTAGTGGGTAAAATACTTTAAAGTAGTGTGTGAAGAGAGAAAGTTTGGCCCACCACTTGGTAAAGTAGTGGTAAAGTAGTAATTTTCAAGGTTTTTGTTTACCCAAAATAAAAATAAAATAGAAAGTTGCATTTAATTTTAATCGGACTAAAATAGCAAAAGTTGCAATTAAAAAAAATCGGAGGGAGTAGTTAATTCGTTTAGTCTACTTAAACTTCTTACTTACTTTTGTTTGAATTAGACTAGCTAAGTAAGATAAGTACAAGTCAAACTACATAATTATATTTAGCTTATATTAGTTTATTATTGTCTATAAGAAATTAATGCTATTAAGTATTAGATGTCTTTTCTAAAATTATAAAAAAAAAAAAAAAGTATTAGATGTCTTTTCTTTTATATTAAGGAACATATATGTTTGACTTAATGTTAAAGGCTACACAAGAAAAACCGTACTCAAATAACATTTTCAATGCGGGTTGATGGTTCGATTTGAGTCGGGTTAATCAGGTAGGAGTTGAAATGGATTTATTTGGCTAGTAAGTTGGTTTTGATAATTAGTAGGGTTAATTTGATTTGGTTAAATCATTGGTATGAACTGGAAGTTTAGACCACACAAAAGAAAAAAGTTTTATACCCACCAACCAAACTAAAATGATTCGGGACTACACAAAAATTAGATCTTATCGACATGAGACGTTAAAACCATACATATCATGTGGAGAGAACTAACATACCTTTAGAGAGAATAAATGAATACATGATGACCACGCTAGCATGATGTTACCTTTATTAAATAAACTAAGAAGAATTTGTAGCATCTATAGGAGAAAACGAAGTTGATGTCTCATAGCTAAGTCATGGTACCCGACTACCCGTGATATTATACATGGATTCAACATTTTAACCCTTTTTGTGTACGTCCTCTGTCCTAATTTAGTTTACGTATATATCATGACACATAGGTTTATAATTGGAGAACATAGTGGAGTATTACTTTTTATAAATTTGATAGAGTGTGAGACCTAATATTTTAGTAGTGGAAAAAGAGAGTGAAAGAAATTTTTTTACCCTTCCAATTTAAAAAAACAAACAAATTAAATCAAAACGAATGAAAAAAAAAATTAAAAAATAGGAGAACTAAATTGGGATAAAGAGAGTATGTATTTAGGCGGACAATACCACATGGGACAACTTAACGAGAAGCGGAGAACCGACCCTATAATTAAGAGTGACAAAGCCATCTTTATTAGGTATGGGCAAAATGATAGGGACCAAAGCTAGGCCCACAAGAATTCAACCAAAGGGTCATTTGGTTTGAGAAAGAAATCGCTTGTCGTGTTTGATGACATTTATCCAAGGAAAATTCGAAGATATTGTACAAATGTTTATTTTATGCTCATATGTTTGTCAAATTCAACGATTTCTATGCTCTAAAAGATCTCAACCATGTAGAAATCTTTTACTCCCAACCACCGGAACCAACAGTCAAGTTTATGACTCGTGTAATTTGATCTAGTTATGTGATAATTAAATTCGGATTGAGAGAGGGTGTAAAATAGTCTTTATATGATTGTGGTCCTTAAATTGGTCTAGACCCTATACATATGTCACTCATGTGCACATGCAAATAGAAAGTATCATAGGAAAAAAAACATGAATAATTAATCCATAAACCAAAGGAAATTGGTAGCGAAATTTAAAGATGGGAATTATCAGTTTAATGGCAGCCTCAATAAGAACAGCAACTATGATGAAATTATTAATTTGAAACAGTTTACTAATAATACAAATTAATATAAGCCCTTGTAAATAGTGAAGACATGTAATTAGTTTTACTATAAGTTTTGCCAACTATGATCATAATTCATAATAAATTCATACACTGTTTTAGTCTATTTAAGTATATGAATTCTGATTATGTGGAAACTTAGTTGAGCTAACTGTGCGTTTTGCAAAACTGCCTTTGTTTTTGAGTTATAACCTTATGCTTGAGAAAACGAAATGCTTGTATAGTTCAAAATGCGCGTTTATTGCTACCCCCAACAATGCAATATCTGCAGCTTCTTAATCAGACTCCTATTGATTTGTATCTGCAATGAATTCACTAAGACGTTCTTCAATTTGATTGATATTACAGGACACACTGAAGTCATCCCCTCCGGAAAACAAAATAATGAAGAAGGCATCCTTGGTTGGAGTATCCACCACCAGCCTTTTCTATATCCTTTGCGGTTGTTTTGGTTATGCTGCATTTGGTAACAAAGCCCCTGGGAATTTCCTCACTGGATTTGGATTTTACGAGCCTTTCTGGCTCATTGATTTTGCTAATGTGTGCATTGCTGTTCATCTAGTTGGTGCTTACCAGGTACTATTTTTTCATCCATCTCTATTGATAGCCTCATCAATGACAAATTATCGCATACTAATAATATGTTTCTTTCATAATATGAGCAACATGACTAAGAAGCTGATTGTCTTGTGTGTAGGTTTTCACCCAACCTGTCTTTAGCTTTGTTGAGACCTGGTCGAAGAAGCATTGGCCGGAAAACAAATTTATAACTAGGGATCACCCGATTGAGATCCCACTTGGCAATGGAATCTACTATTTCAACTGGTTTAGGCTTGTTTGGAGAACGTCTTATGTGATAGTAACAGCAATACTAGCTATGTTATTCCCATTCTTCAACGATTTCCTTGGGTTACTAGGAGCATTATCGTTTTGGCCACTGACCGTGTTCTTCCCTGTTGAGATGCACATCTCACAAGCCAAGGTTCCTAAGTACTCGACAAAGTGGGTAGCTCTTAAAACGCTTAGCCTTGTGTGCCTGATAGTGTCGTTGATAGCTGCAGCTGGTTCGTTACAGGGACTTATTGGCTCTGTTAAGAAATACAAGCCTTTCGAAGCACAAGAATAAGAGTCTTTGCACTCTTATGGTACAATCTGTTGTGAAAACAAGGAGCAAAAAATGTAAAACAATATTCCAATCATGGTTGAACTTAAATCTTTCATGTAGATGAGAGCATTTTAGGTTGTGCCCCGAAAGAAGGTGGCTTTGTAATAGACAGGTTGTAAGCCTCCTGGCATGCGTGCCTTTGTTGTGTAATTAGTGGCGCAATGCAGGTGATTGGAAAGTGAAGATGAACTGGTGTTTTATGTCTAAAGTCTCTCAACTATCGAAAAAAATCCTTAATCTCAGCTTATCATATCAGTACTGAAATTACGGACTGTAAACAATCAGTAAATCTCTGTTACTCACTGTGAGAAACGTTTTTGTTTCTCACAGTGACAGTTTCGTAAATAAAATGTACCACCGTGACTAAAGTGGTACAATTTTATCATCCATTTCGTAAATAAAATGTATTACCGTGACTAAAGTAGTACATTTTATTTACGAAACTGCCACTTTGAGAAACAAAAACGTTTCTCACAGTGAGTAATGGGGGCGCCCTCGTAAACAATCAAAGAATAAAACAGCAAATTCTCATTTCTGATGAAACTAAACTCAAGTTAGCAGCATTATTGTATCAGCCATTAGCAGCATTGCTAAATGAATAGAGTTGGTGCGAGCTTATCTTGATCAATATACAAACCAAACAAGTGTAAGACACTTCTGAATGCAGAATTGAAAAGTGGATTATTGCTTCATATATTCAGTAATAATTTTGGAAAGTTAAAAATTTAATTAGCTCAACCTAATTACTCGGAACATTCTTTGTGAGTAAACTTATTTCTTCGTAGTACTATAATTAGGGACATAATAAGAAACAAAATAGTAAGTTGCATGCCAATAAATATTTAAAGGGACTTGTAAACCTCTAACGGATCATCAAATGAAAATGACAAAGGCAACCACAATTAATGGTCAATTCTGAATGCAATAAGGACAAGTCCTAATTAATGCAACCACAATTGAATCATTAGGGTTATACCCTTCAACAGTCCATGAAATTGTTGATATAATGTGGTCTCAAACCATCTAAAATTTTGGGGATAAAGGTATAAAATCGGGCTATCAGACTTATTCCACTCACATAGTCACATTAGCCCTTACACGGTTCTTTTAATGACATGCAATTATTTACAACTTAAGAGCACCATCAATAATAAGCGAAAAAATGATCATTTAATGTAGTCTTGAATATGGCAGCTTATTTATGTTGCCGGGGGTGAAAATGGTTTTTATGGTACACCCGCGCATGGTGTACCCGGAAAAACGTTACACATATATAAAGAATACGGGCAAAAAAAAAAAAAAGAACATTACAGACATTTGCAATAAAGAACGCAATGAGCATAATATGTTCTTTGAGTATGATCATTATGTTATTTGGATATGAATTATATGTTCTTTACATGGTAAACTGTTCTTTAATATATATAAATAAATAATGTCATTTGGATTTCAATAATACAAATTAAGTTCTTTTACTTGAATAATATGTTCTTCTATACTCATGTTCGTTTGTTCCTTTATATACTTTTAAGAATTATATTTGTTTTGTCATTGTGTTATTTTCTTTTATCCGTTATATTTTTTGAAAGTACTTGTTCTTACTGTTAAGTGTGTATGTGTTTTAGTGTCTGCGTTATTTGAATTTATCACTTATATTTTTTGAAGTTGACCTTTAATCTTCATCAATATCATTTATTAATTCTATTATTTTTTTTGTATATTAAATATCATCTAATTGTGTATATTTTATTTTTAAAAACAATTTATAAAGGTTGATGATGACGACAATATTTGTTCGGGCCTCCTCTATTGATGATTGATTTTCAGATCTAAAGAACATTTGTAATACTAATAAAGATCATGATGACATATATTATGTAATGAGCATTGTTTATATATACCTACCTTTCATGATCAAAAGACAAAATTCAAAAAACAATTCACAATATGCAATGAACATTATGTGACTATAAAATTACATTACTATTACAATCAAAGAATATGGACATTTAAAATAATTATCAAGAAAACCAATAAAGATTAGTATATGATATAATAATAATGAACATATGGAAAGATTATAGTGTTAATACTATTTTGTATAATACAAACATATATAAAGTGTATTATATGTTTAGGTAAAGATCAGAACATTATTAAATCATATAAAGAACATCCTAATAAGAAATACACATGGCCATTACTAGGATGAATATTATAATTATAATATAAAATTAAAAAAATTGGTGAAAAATATGATCGAAATAAAATATTTTAAGACTAAAATTTTGTAAATGTAATTAATGTTAAAGTTTGATATTTGGAAATGAAATCATGAATTATTTTTATGAGAAACTAAATTTAGAATGAAAATTATTATGAGAACTTAGTTTCATACTAGTTCTTTTTTCAAAATAATGACATGTTCTTTAATATATACACCCATGTGTTATTTAGATGAAATACTACTACAAGAGGGGGGGGGGAGGGTGAATTATAGTATCTAGCTTGCTAGTCACTTTTTGCAGAATTGAAAGAAACTAAACGTAAGTAGAGAAATAGTGTAAGAAAGATTTTATGAGAAAAACTTCATAGGCCTAATAGGAAGTGAAAAACCTCGACCCCAAGGGGTTTTGACTCAAAACATTCCACTAAAATAGGCCAACGACTATGTTACAACCTGTTTTTAGAAACAGAATTCTCCTCGGAGTGTAAGGGTATTTTGGGTATTACGATGTCCTAGACTTGATGTCCAATGTTTGAACGGTCTTGAGCTCTGCCTTGCAAGGGTGTCTGAGAGCTAACCCTTCAAGAAAGAGAGAGTAAGCTACCCCGCGGGGTTGACCTGGGAACGCCCCTCCAATGCTCAAGTTAGTGAATCGTACTTTTAGAGAGAGAAATAGTACTTTCTAGAGAGAGAGAGAATGAGAGAGATTAGAAAAAGTTCCCATTATTAATCATTAGTTGGCTATTTATAGATGTACTTTCAAGTGGCAAAACTGTACTTTATTGGACAGATTAGGGGCAAATCTGTACTTTGTGACGATTGATGATGATGGGTTGGATCATGGAGGGGTATTTTCGTCATTTCAAGTATATGAGGCTTAGGACATGAACTAGGCCCAAACATTTAGCCCCCCGCATGATGTGTGAACGAGATCACATAAAGTTCAGATATCACGTGGAATAAGCGTAATTGGAACTAAGAAGTCGTCATATGAGCCGGAGTGGCTTTTGATTATACCCGAGGGCTAAAATGAGCCCCAAGCGACTTGCAAGAGTGAAGAACAACCCCAAGCAATGCATAAGAGGTGTTTTAGTTGCAATAGCTGAGTTGTTTGAGAAATCATATGAGAGGTGAGCCTGATAGTAGATGACAGCATATAGACGACTGAGAGCTTGTCAGATCTTGATAATCTTCTGAGGGGTGAGCCCCTATACATTGATAAAGGCATGGCTTGTCTTGATTTTAGGCTAAGCTTGTATTAAAAGTTAAATAATTATAGTTGAATGCTAATTAGCTTGCAATTAAGCTTAATCCGTCATTAGTGACATTCTGGGCTCAATTAACACTTAAGCCCATTTGAGCCAGGGTTTTGAAGTGTGCCTCTTTCACCTTCTTCCAATATATGAACACTCCACTCCCTTCATTTGCCTCACACTTGCCTAAGAGAAATTCACAAAGTTCTCTCCATTTTCCTTCAAATTTTTGAGAGCTTTGAGTGTTTGAACATCACATCGCTTGAATTCATCGAAATTCAACAAGATCTTCAAAGGTATGTGAAAATTTTCCTCCTTTTAATCCATTTTTCGTAGATCCAAATCATTGTACTTGTGTTTTTGTTTTTGTATTGAATTTTCGGTTGGTATGCTCGTGTGAGAGTCTCAGCCAAATTTTTGTGTACAGGCATAGCCGAGGAAAGATGATTTTATCTTATTTATGACTGCTGGAAAAAGGAGATGAGGGGTAGGAGAACCTGGCTGGGCCGAGGGGCTGGCTATGCTGAAGGGTTGTAAGGCGTAGCCCTAGCCCTCAGTCTTGGGGGACTTTGCTGTGAGCTTGAATTGCCTAGAGGATAAGTTGAGAGGTTAGATAGCTTAGGCCGAGGGATAAGCCAAGTGCTTGGCCCTTTTCTACTGGCCAAGGGAGTGAACTAGGTGCTGAGCACTTGCCTTGTTCAGTATTGTTGAGAGAATGTTGCTGAAATATCAATTGGCATGCTTGAGATTTGAAAATTTTACTAGGCTTAGCTGAAAGAAACCACTTTTATTGCTTGAATATGCCAAGCTGGGGGAAGGAATGGGTTAGGCAGTGCTTGGCTGCCGAAATCCTGGCTTGCTCAATTCTCGAACTTGATGATAACACGCTAGACAATGGCGAGGGCTTTCCTTGGTGCTACGTTCAGCCTGGCCCTTGACCCTTTGATAAAACCAGCTAAACTTCTTTTTTTCGATTTTTTTTAATGGTTGAAAACTGAAGGCTTGATAGTAGTGCCGAGAGCTTGCGTTGCAGGGTCAAATTGCTGAGGGTGTAGCCCCTCTCATCCTTTCTCAATTACCGAGAGAGAGAGAGAGGAATGCCGAGAGGGTGCAACAATCTAGGCTTGTGAGGTTGAGTGGAGGGAATGCGCCCTTCCTCTTGACCAAGGGGGTATCCGAGAGAAGAGAGTGAGCCTTCAGGCTGAGAGCTAGGTGTTCCATATCGGTTTTCACTAAATCGAGGAGAGTCGAGAGAGAGTGTAAGTAGGGAGGAGGGAGCGATTTAGGTAGAACTTCCTAGTTGCTTGATAGCCTAATACCAGGACGAGTGGGTAAGGAGTGCTGAGAGCCTAGGGTTGACACGTTGAGATCCCAGGCTTGACACACCAAGAGCCTGGGGGTATACACTCTTAGGATTTGCGGAATAGGTCGAAGCCTAAAGTAGATTTTGTTTGTAGACCACCAAGAGCCTAGGCCTTGACTAAAACGCCGAGAGGGGGAGCGAGAGTGATGTGAAGAGTGAGCCGAGAGACAAACGCTGAGATCTCGGCCTACTTGAACTTAAAAGTTGGGTTGAGAACTCACTCCATGTTGAGGATGAAGGCTTGGCAAACCTGATAGGCCGAGCTCTTTGTCTTTAGTGTGAGAGCGAAATATCTTATGAGGTATATAGATACAAGAGCTTAGGCCTACATATAGTGAAAGAGTGTTTGAGAGCCTAGGGTAGGATGTGTGAGGGTTGCGATTTACCCGAGATGCCTAGGGAGG